CGTCCGTTGAATTTTAAGCGGTTCGTCCGGACATTTTTACGGGACCGTCAAATAAATGTTAATAATACACGTGATCGGCTTGTGTGAGCTTCATTCTTAGATCCTGAGAATTTTTCATCATGTGAACATATACGTTTAATTTCTGTAAATTCTCACTCTGCAAAAATTCAATTACAGTTAGAATAAAAGTTTATTAGAATTAGAACAAAAATGTTGCTATTATTGAAGTTATTATTATTTTCATGAGCTTAAAATCAGAATTTTTTAAATAAGATATTTGACGGTTTTTTTTTTAGAAAAGATTATTTAAGTTCCACAAAATTTAACGATTTTGAAATATTGGCGCTAATAATTTCAATGTCTTTTGTTATGAAATAAGATTATTTGTTATGAAATAAGACTATTTGTTTTCCTTTGTCTCTTGGTGCGCTTAGATAACGTACATGGTATAACATCATGTAGAAACGACAATGTCTATACATATATGAGTCTGCAGTAACACTTGCTTAACAAATCAACTATTTCAACAGATTTAATAAAGACAATAAAAAAAATTATTTTTATTTCCCTGGTAAAAAAGTTTCGCTGAAATTATTTCACGTTTTGGAACATTTCAGCGAAATTGCTAAAAATTTGCTGAAACTTCACTGAAAGTGAATTTTTCAGCTAACATACTGAAAAATCATTGAAATCCAATCGAAATTTCTCTGAAATTCTTGCTGAAATTTGTCTGAAAATTTTGTTGAAATTTTGTCGGAAATGAATTTTTCAGCTAAAAATCGCTGAAATTAAACTGAAATTTTTTTGAAATGCTGAAATTTTGTTGAAAAGTGTTCCAAAACATGGAATAACTTCAGCAACATTTTCCCACCAGGATTTTCATTGAGATAAAAATAAAATTATAAGAACAAAATGAAGGAAACAAAAAAAACCAACTGATTTAATTTCTGTGCATTTTAATAAATTGCATATTATTATATACATCTCCGTTGTACCATAAATCATTAATCTTCGTGTAATCGATATTACATATCTGTTGTTTAATTTGCTTTCACAGGATGCTAAAACATGATCTATTCGATCCATATTTCAACCCAAACGATCTCTACTACTTTCCGAACAGCCATGTTTAATTTTTAAAGAAAATTTCCATTATTACGCTCGATATTACCGACCGTCGGTAAACGCGGTCGCTAACCGTATCGATCAAGTGGATGATGCATGCGCGTGCGCGCTCATAAGTCTAATGTTTTTTTTACTCCAAACAAACGCTCCGACGATTGTATATGTTTTCGTGCAGTTTTCGTGGGACCATTGCGGAGTATACGGATACACGCGGCATTTTACTCATTGCTCCCAGAGACGAGGTGAATAATCGCTGAGTAATCCGGCCGATTGTTTGATCGATCAGCGGTGTGTCGCGTAGAGGAGCAACAAGTCGCCTGCCTCTCATCGCCAGCGCGCCCGTGGTCGCGGTACCTTCGTTGCACGAGCGTGGATACAACATGTCCGCTACGACCCGGGTCGGTGTTGTCCCCGGGATTTCGTACTACGCGTGCGGCGCGATACGATGATGCGCGCGCGACGCATACGATCTTAGGGGGTAAACGCGATGCGTCCACGCGCGACGTCAACGACGGCGTACGACGATCTCGCGTACAACGACGACGACGACGGCGACGACTTTGCATACACATCGTACGACGATGACGGAGCCGGAACTTTGCCGGCTATGCGCCGAGACCAAGGACAGTCTCATCGGGATCTACGACGCCGAGGGCCAGAAGCTCGCGATCGAGGCTAAGATCGCGAAATGCCTGCAGATACAGGTACAGTTAAGCATGGTCAACCGGTAGCTCTATTTCCTTGGTGAAAACCGTCTGATCTAAGAAGACCAAAATGTATTTTATTCAACGTAACTGTTATACAATTTCTTTGAAAGAAACAATTTTTAATTTTAAGAGTAAAAATTAAAAATAATATACTATAATATATCCTTATTTTGTTATATTTCTGTATCCAAGAAATCTAGGTTCTTTAAAATTCATTTATTTATTTAGTTCTTGAGCAAAAACTGTCTATTAAAAATTTAAAAAATAGGGATGTCATGTTACAAATAAAATTTTATGCATAATTTTTTTACATTAAAAACTTAATAAATTTTGCAAAGATAATGTTTAAATTGGTTTCATTAAAATAATAAAACTATAGTTTTTATTTAAGAAATAATTTACTTGTAAAATTAATATCCTTATTTTGCAAACTATACTACTTCTGATATATTTTATTTGTAATAATTATGATTTTACAGGTTATAATAACAGATGGCTTGCCACTCGTGGTTTGCATAGACTGCTGTGATTCATTGAACCAGTGCAATGAATTCTTTGAGAAGACTAATCAAGCGCAAATATCTCTAAGACAATTGCTAATAGATCCAAAGTCCGAACCACAACCGACCGAACCAAATATAGATTGTGTCGAGGAGGAGATCGTAGAGTTTCCAAAGGATGAGGCCAACAATAGAGAGGAGATTGTCCAGTGTCAATTACCTGGCAATTATATCAATGAGACAGTCAATATCTTGAATAATTCTTACTTCATTGAGGGATGTAATAAAAACGCGAATTCTGAAACTCAAGAAATGCAAGATAACACAAAACAGAAGAAGTGTAAGATACAGATAAAGAAAAGCTCTCCCAAACAAACTAAGAAAAAATTAAAGAAAAAGGGTCAGATACAAAAGACTGAAGAAGAGTCTGAGCCTGATATATCTTCTCAAGTAGACAAGGAACAGAATGATGGAAATGAAGTCATAGATAATTATATGCCTGGTAAGATTAATCTATATTGTATTTGTTTTTTATATTTGTTTTATTTTTAAAAATTGTCTACATATATATATATGTATATGTATATGTAATCAATGATTATATTGATCTATCATAAATCTAATATAATATGTACTTTTAAAGTAGAGACAGAATCAAATTTAGAAATAAGAGAAACACGAACAATAGAAGCAACAAAGCATGGAAGAAAAAAGACAGAAGGTCTGGAGAGGTATCCTTGGTTATGCACAGATTGTAATGACAAATTACCATCTCTAGAAGCATTAGAGGAGCATCACGAAACGGTGCATAATCAACAAGCCAAGTATATGTGCGTGCAATGTTGTAAGGTTTATGATAAGTATTATGGGTTTCTTACTCATGTTAAAAGGCATAAGAATAAAGCAAAGTTCAGGTAAAAATCATTTACTGTTATTTTAGGATTGTATAAGAACTTTGTATATAATCGTATATTAATATAATTTAATTTATTTTTAGCTGTGACGATTGTGGAAAATCGTTTGTACATAAAAAAGTTTTAGACTCTCATAAGACAATTCACAGCGAGGAACGGCCATATGTGTGCCAAACTTGTGGTAAAGGTTTTAGACAGCAAAGTGCTTTATGTATTCATAATCGATGCCATTTGCCTGAAACTATGAAGAATAGATTTCCATGTGACCAGTGTGATAAAAGGTATAATCTATTTTTTTTTAATTACACATTTTAGAGAATTTTTATACATTAATAAAAAAGTTTACTTTTTTAGGTTCTCGACAAAACCAAATCTTGTAACACACAAACGTATTCATTCTGGTGTCAGAAACTTCACGTGCGATCAATGTGGTAAGAGCTTCATACAGAAAGGAAATTTAGAAGCTCATTTCCTAACTCATTCACCAGATAAGCCATATAATTGCTCTCAATGTACAAAAGCGTAAGTAAAAATATATATATTCTTTTTTTCTTTAAGTCTATAGTTAAGTTTAGTATGTTTAAAGTTTTTTGCAAGTTTTTGGCATTCTTAGAGATTCTAATATTTTTTTATTATAATTGAATGAAATTTTAGCTTCCTCTCTTATATTTAATACACTTCAGAATAGCATATATAAAAATATAAGAATATAAAAATAAATATATAATAA